CCCCCACCCCTCTGCCCCCCAATGACCCCATCAGCCACTGTGCCGGCTGCTCAATTCCTCCCGCGAAAACAGCGCCTCTTTGAGACGCGTCCCCAGGGGACGAGAACCAGGGATGCCCATCTAAACCCGCCTTTAAAAACCGCCCGGGGCCTGCGTGCCCTGGACCCCAGCCCTCCGTCCTCAGCCCCACGCCCGGCGGCTCGCGGGGTCAGGCAGCTCAGGGTCTGTCTGGCCCCGGAGGAGTCCTGCCCGGCCAAGGTCACGCGGTGGCGGTTTCTGGGTCACGCCTCTTTGCCCTGCGGATGTGAGGCTGGGAATCGAGGCTCCCTGCACCCCACCCTGCTGAGCGGCAAGGGCACCTGGGGATGTGAGGCAGGGACAGCAGTTCCCCCGCAACACCCCGGGCCGGGCCTCTCGGGTTCCCGGAGCTGCCAAACCTCCCCGCTCAGTGCCATGTGGGCACCGGCCTCTGCCCCTCGGAATCGAATCAACCGCAAAGGGAAAGGGAACGTGGGTAGGACGCATCCTGGCCAACGGCCGTCAGGTCAACAGTGGGGAAGAGAGAAAGGGCTTTTGTTCTTCTCCTGGAAATATTTTTGGAAGAACGCTCAGGCATGGGACACCCTGATGGAGAGAGGACAGGCAGGACACAGCCCGTCCAGTCCCAGGAGCCGGTCTGAGCAACTGGACTCCGACCCGGGGCTGCCATGGACGGCGCCCCAGTCACCTGGCGCCTCCTGAGGCCACTCCCTTAGTCAGCAAAGAGACGGTGGCAACCTTGTTGTATTTTTAAAAATATATTTCTTACTGATTTCGGAGAGGATGGGAGAGGGAGAGAGAGAGAGAAACATCCATGATGAGAGAGACTCATGGATCGGCTGCCTCCTGCACGCCCCCTACTGGGGATGGAGCCTGCAACTCGGACAGGTGCCCTGACCGGGAATCGCACCGTGACCTCCCGGTTCCTAGGCTGACACTCAGCACTGAGCCACACCGGCCGGGCCCTTCTGTGGGCTAAACACTCAAGCACTGAGCCACACCGGCCGGGCCCTTCTGGGGGCCATTTCAAGGGACGGGGACGGCAGGAAAGAGGGACCGACAGACGTACTTGTTTTCGTTGCTGGCATCGTAGCGTGGCGATGGGTCATAATCATTTCCATTGACGTCGTAACTTGCGTAGGAATCCTACGGAATGAGATCTAAGTGAGCGGAGAGGTGAGGCACAGATAGAGCAAGCCTGCCCCAAGTATTATTACGCCTCCGTGGGAAAACAGAGAAAAAAAGGCACTGGGTACTCCATCCCTGCAACTGTCACCTTATCTATGTTTCCTTTTTTTTTTTAATTGAATTTATCGGGGTGACATCTATATAACAAAAGCCTAAGTGACTGTTACGGCGGAATGACCAGAATGACCAGTTGCTATGATGCACACTGACCACCAGGGAGCAGACGCTCAAAGCAGGAGCTGCCCCCTGGTGGTCAGTGCACTCCCACAGGGGGAGCGCCGCTCAGCCAGAAGCCAGGCTCAGAGCTGGCGAGCACAGTGCTGGTGGTGGGAGCCTCTCCTGCCTCTGCTGTAGGCGGGCGATAAGGAGCAAGGCGTCCTGGACTGCGAGAGGGATGTCTGACTGCCAGCTTAGGCCTAGGGGGATTGGGCCTAAGCTTGCAGGCGGACATCCCCAAGGGGTCCCAGATTGTGAGAGGGCGCAGGCCGGGTTGAGGGATCCACTTAGTACACGAGTTTCATGCATCGGGCCTCTAGTTGGTTATAAAATTACATAGGTCAGACTTAC